AAAGAAAGAAAAGAAAATTGGGGAAGTGGCTCAGTGATTCAATCCCCCAATTCAGTTCCCAATACCAAAAAATAAATAAATAAATAAAAATAAATAAAAGTGAATAGCATTTAAAACATAATATTAAAGATCTCATTTCTATAGCATTTCTATAAAACTATTAACAACCCAGAAAAGGAGTGAATAGCAGGCAATAAAACCAGAGAGCCATTCTCTTTGTTGCACATATAGGACAATGCCACACTGAGGATCTTGGCCATAGTTTGCTCCTTTTCTCAGATATTGAAGTTTTCCATGGCTTACCCAGAAAAATTGATTTTTGAAATGTGAAAAGTACATTTCTCACTTTATGTCTTAAGAATTGTGGAAACAACCATTTTATGCCTCAATTAAGACTTAGTGCTCTGAGTTATACATTCATAAGCTGTTAGTACAATAGGCCTTTGGTGTAAAAACTGCAAATGCATTCCTTGCAAAAACAAAAAAATCTTGTTAAGTACTGATTGAATGCTCTAATTTAACTCAACCTCAGCCTTCTAGAAATTTTGAATATACAGTTTCAATAGCTCTATATACTGTACATATGCTTAAGCTTTCACTCAAAAAATGTTTCAAGGGGTGGGGGTACAGCTCAATGGTAGAGAGCTTGCCTAGCATGCATGAGGCCCTGGGTTCAATCCCCAACACAGCAAAAAATAAACAAAGAAACATAAGAAGTGTTTTAGCAAAAAACAAAACAAGACAAACCATTTAAAAAATGTAGATTTTCTATCAAATTATATTAATTCATCCCTATTACTATATCCCTATTACCCAACTCCTCCTCCATACATATAATTATCTAGACAATAGCTCCCTTATGTTTTGAAAAATTTAAACTATAACCCTACTCTTTACCTGTAATCTAGTATAAATGTCCTTTTGAGATGTTACCATTGTAAAGAATTCCCTTTACCAGGAAATTTCTCCCTAAAATTTCTATTCATTATGCAAAATAAAGCTGCTGACTATTCAGAGACTTAACTAATCATCATTCTAGTGACATTCTAGTATCTTGTTTGTGGAAGAATTATTAAAAAGAGCTCTCCAGAAGTTTCTAGTGAAGGCACATTAACTGTTTACTGTATAGGCAATGGAGCTCCCATGTCTTCTTCTTTATCTACTGACTTCCCAACAAGTCAGATCTCTCTTGGGAGGATGTTCCCCCACTTACTTGGCATGTCTTTTCTCATCATCACGGTTCAGGTTTGCCACATACCCTTCCAGGTATTTTTGGAGTTCTTCAAATGTCCCAACAGTTTGATTGAATGTTCTGAAATAACATAAAATAAAATAGAATAAAATAAAGCAAAATAGTACCAAAGTAACTTGACATTCTTCTTAAACTCATACAAGAATATGTATAGAGTTATCCATGGAGTCAATTGTTTTTCAATAATTTATGGAATATTAACATTGCTGTAACATGTGGCCTAGTTGCTGAAAGCTCTATAATTGAGCTTTTGAGTTCATGCAAGCTAAAGAGGCTACCAGTGAGAAGAGACAGCATTTCTATTGTTTTCTGCTTTGCAGTTCTAGTATGTCAACAAGTAGTTTTTCATTTGTTTTAAGACAGTGGAGAAGAAACAGCTTACATGATCTGCTTATTGAATCCATAGCTTATAGGGGTTACAGATTTTAATACTTTTGCTTAATTAAGTAACAATTTAAAATCAAAGGCAAAATTTATCTGTTCTTTGTCTCTGATAATTCTCCTCATTTTGCATTCCTTCATAATTTCTTTTTACCTGAATTTCATAGTTCTCTGTCTGAGGCTCATCTGGTTGACCTCACTCATCCTTCATAGACCACAGCCTTGTCCTGTGCCTGACCTAATCTCCCTGTCCCAGTCCACGGTCTTTAGAAATTCTTACATACTCCACTGTCCGTGAGAAAAATGAATCCCCTTCCTCACGAGAGAAAGGATAGTTTTGTTGAATGTCCTTCCAAAGCTTCCTATGCCGTATCTAACAATCTGCCTTGATTTGTGATTATTAGGATAGAGACCCCACTTTCACCATAGTGGTATCATTTTAAGTGTCTGGTACACAATAGAATTAAAATAATAAAAATGGGCCTCAACATACCTAAAACTAATAAACCAGTAACACCTCAATAATACAGTGTCACAACTTAATGCCTCTATACACATTTTGCTGACAGCCAATCAATATTTCCATTTGTCAATATGTGTTACACACTGGAATGGGTATTTTTCATTCCTCCCCTCAGATGTACTCCCCACTCTTTTCTACCCTTTACTATAAACTGACCTTTGTTGATGTACAGTAATGGGACATAAAATAATATCACTATGGAATTTCTAACTTCCTTAATAATTGAAATTTTCAAACAAAAAGGAAATATTAAGAATCTGACATAACTTTCTTTCTTTCTTTTTTTTTTTTTAAGTGGTGCTGGGGATTGAACTCAGGGCCCTGTGTTTGGAGGCAAGCACTCTACCAACTGAACTATATCCCCAGTCCTCTGACATAACTTTCCTATGTGAATATATGAATACAGCATAGTGACTCTCACCATCATGTACATCCATAAGACTGGGGTCTTAATTAGAATAAGATATATTTTATGCTTGTACAATTATATCAAAATGGACTCTACTGTCATATATAAAGAACCAATAAAAAAAGGAAATATTTCTTGTACTTTGTTTTCCTTTAATTTACTCTTCCTTTACCAATTTTTTGCTTGCCACTAGACTATTGTTATAAACAAATCTTATTTTTTTCATGTTGTGACACTGGGGTCATGGGTTCCTAGAGGTTCTTTCCTAACTAATCTTAAACCACTCTTTCAAGAGCTGCAACATTATAGCTGTAACTTTCAAATAGCCTGTACTCATTCAGCTGTTACAGTAACTAACCAACTCCTTTGGGATTTATCTCAAAAATTAAGGATGGTGGTGTCACCATACACCTTCCATTTGTTTAAAGATCTTAAAGCAGGATTATTTCACAGTTTGTCACACTTTAAAAACAGGAAAACCTCAAATTCTAATTCTTCTTGCTGTATAATCATTCTAAGCATGTATTAAAACCGTGGACTAGGAAGGAAAGAATAAGAATCCATAGGCTCTCCGTGCCTGCATCTCATTGCAAGGATGATGCCCTCTATTGAGCCACCATCTGGTGAGCACTTCCCACATGCCAAGGACTACATCAGATGCTGGAACTGCAGCAGCAATGCAGTTACATGTTTCTGTATTTGTGAAGCTTACAAAAGAGCAGCAAGAGATGGTAAATAAAACAAAGTGTGAATAATGGTATGATTTGGGTAAAAACGGTGGACTCTGGGAGTGTTGTGGGGTCTTAATCTACTCCAAATCATAGCTAAGATGATCCTAACATTTATTATCCAAACTGAAATACTTTCCAGAATGAAATCAGATACCAATAATAAATATGTTGGGATAACCCTAACTGTCCCAAGAAAACCAGGTTATAGGTGAAACTAGCAATACCAGATAGTCAACATCTCTCACCCATGGAGTAAATCCATGTAATTTTTTATCTTTCATTATGCCAAGTGTATGTATGTTATAGACTCTCAATGATATATATGTAAAGTAAACATCCTAAAATTATAATCTTGCAAGTAATTTGTAAAGTATATAAAGTCAATGCATGTTTTTCATGGATTAAAAGATATTACATACATGTGTGGTACATGTGATTATAATGAAGGAAAGAAGTCCTTCCTTTCTATCAAATTTTGTTGTGTTAACATTTTGGAGCATTTATTCCATACAGCTATTGCTATTCAGCACATGCACATATTTTTAAGGAACTCAAACAAAACAATGTATTGTTAGGACAATATACCAAATCATTTTCCGTTTAAGAGTTGGCATTCAAAGAGTGCTATCTGAACACACTTTTCACTTCCTAGCTGTCTGCCTTTGCTCTGGAGTTTTAATTCAGCTGGGGTGAATTTTAAATTTCTTCTTTGCTAAGAAAGATCCTATTATTTCTTTATGCTCCATTTCCATATTTAAAAAAATAAAATAAATTCTTAACCATTTGACTGCATAGGGACTGCTTTTCTTTCTGAGCAGGTGCTATGAGAGCCAAATGTGCTGGAGAGAGAAAGTTGAGATGAATCTGGAAACCTGGGCAGTAACCCCTGCTCAGTCACAGATGGCATTGTTGGTACAATTCTTTAACCTACTTTGGATTTGCTTTTCTTATCTGTAAGGGAAAGAATTGAAATAATTCCATGTGAATTATAATCACTATTTAGACACGTTAATATTATTGTAGTCAATACTTAGCTTTAGAGGTGCCCCAAATTTTTTGCAACAATTTTATATTTGGAATTTGCTTAAAAATAATGTGGAGATGTCACAGAGTGGTGAAGAGTACAGATAAGATATGAACTGATAACTGTTGAACTTGAATTAGTAGAGTACTGATGCCATTTTATTTTTTAATGTTTGTAACTTTCCATGATAAAAAGGTTTCTGAACACTCTTAAGTTCTTCCCAGCTCTACATTTTTATGATTCTATGTTCAATAAATGCTGTATTCAATCAGAAGTTGACTATATGCCTCTTGTAAATTTACTGTTTTTTGTTAATATTTCATGTGAGTCTGACCTATTTCTTTGACTACACAATGACTTTATTTGGATAATGATCTAGCTCTGCTATATTAGAATTTCCTTTAGTGTATCTTGAAATTAATCAGTAAATATTTAAATGGTTAATGAGAGATCCAAGATGCCAGGATAAAGTATGATTTGAAGTGAGTGAAACAAAATAAAACTTATTCTGAAAAATAACCTAAGATATTTAGACATCAATATTGATACACATTGCTTACAAATGATTAAAATTTGTTTGGAAATATAAATAGCTAATGATTATTTTATACATTGAGAGAGGGTTTATTCAAAACTGTTTTTGACTGCTAAAGGCATTTTAGAAATTAATTACAAAATTGTTCACTACGTTGTATGGAAAACATCCATAAGAACACTAATAAACTTATTTCTCTGGGAGATGCAGAATTTAAATGAGTCAATTGCTGATATTTATGTACAAACTCTGCACACAAAATATTTAGCCTGCCAGCATCTGCCACTGCCACAGACACATTCAGATCAGAAGGCCCTGTTCCTTCTCATGAATTTTAATAGAATGTACTTGCAGCTGAGGACTGGCTAGCATTTCCGAGTGGTGATGAATGAGAAAACAGATCCGCCCTGGGAGTAAGGGAAGGCCAAGTCTTCAAAGGTGGCAGGAGTCTGCCTTCTCGAACATGAGGATACTCACTCTCGATCTATAACCAGGCAAGCGACATCATTTTCTTCAGCAATAATGTTAGCTGACCTGACATCATCACTGCAGACAAAAGCAGGAAAGTCAGTTTCCACTGCAGTTAGAAATTAAAACCACCAATTTGATTAGGAAATCTGCTACTTTGTATGAAAGCATCTTCCCAATACTATACTTTTGAAAAAAACATTTTAATTTATACTCAACCCCCTTCCAAAAGAAAAACCACAAGAATTTAAAATGTATCCCAATAAAGGTCATCTACACAAGGAATGCAGAGGAGAAGATAATTGCACTGAGAATGTAGAGGAATTGCTGACTGCAAGTGCATGTGGAATATCATTCTGAGCTTTGTGATAGCTAAACTAAAAGAGCTCTCCCCTGATCAAAGAAGACTAATTAATAAGGAAGCAAAACAGAAATGAACTGATCAAAGAAACTTATTGGGAAAACCATCAAAAACAAAACCCAAGGAAATTGTTTTCAGTATCAGATCATCCAGTGAATTAAATACTAAAATACTTTTCATTTTATAGAATGAAAATGTGTATTTCTACATTAAAATCCATTAAAATCTCTGAAATCAATTTATATATGAAAATCAATGATGAGTTGTAGGATAATTAGCAGTATTGTGTTTCTTAATGGTGCATAATAGAGTGGTAATACCTTACAATCAATATCTTAGATATGATGAGTAGTCATATATGACCTGATGGTAAGTTTAATTTTCTAATGAATATCAACTTGTGAAGCATCAGGCAAATATTCTTTAGAGATTTATTTATATTACTTTCCTCCCTCTATTTGTTATAAATTAAAGAAAATGAAAACAGGTTCTCCCACTTGGAACCCAGTGCTCAGAGATTTATAAGATGTCCTACCAGTAGCAGCAAATGGTAGAATATCATTACTAGGACTGCTCCAGTCAACTTCATCAAATATAGTATTGTACAAATCTCCTTCACCTTTCTTAGTGGTAGGACACAGAAAACTTGGGCAGCCCCTCTCTACCATTCCAAAGAAGTGCCCTTTGCCTAGCTGATATCCAAAGACATTCTGACATATCTTCCAGTCCCACCAAGATCCCTTTATAGGATCTTTATAAGAAGATATCAGTAAAGACACTTGAGTTTCATGAACTTTGGAGTCAAAGGCAGGACAGTTTCTGCTCAACTTGTATGAATGTGATTTAGACAGAGATAGGGACAGAGATAAAGAGAGATGATGGAGATAGAGATAGAGGTAGTGAAGACAGAGACAGAAGTAGTAGAGACAGAGCCAGGTAGATATAGAAACAGAACAGACACAGTCACGAACTTGGATTGTGGACCAGCTATTTGATCTCTGAGTTCAGAGAAAGAGATATCGTGTTCCTTTCACACTGTGGTGTCATCATTGTCACTGAGAATATTCTCTGCAAATACTTTACAAATATTAATGTTCATAAACACACTCATATTTCTTTCATAGTACTGTGTAAGTGTCATGGATTTATATTTGCATCTGAAATTCTGAAAGAACTGCTGGGACTTTTAAATGTCAAGTTGTGGAAATATACAGAATAAAAGGAAATTTGAGTCAGTCAGCAGCAACCTACAAAAATGTTATCATATTTGTCTCCACTTTCCTTCCCATTGGTTTTAACTTTATGCTTTCAAATACCTTGGGAAGTTGTGAGTCCATAGTAAACATAAATTCCCATATTGTCCATAGGAAAACACTATAATTGGATGGCTACAACATATAGCATAAATCACTGCAGATCCTACAAAATTAGATGATACATTTCCTTTCAAGACAAAATATTGTCTCCACACTACATTTATAAAGGCCTTTGAACCTTCAAGCTTTAAGCTATTTTGCTTAGAAGTATGAGAAAAAATAGCCTGTAAATGTTGAAAACAAATACATTGAAGTCTTTGATAATAATATTACATTATGATAATGCACAAAAGAAAGATAATTTTCCTATTAGTGAATCAAGTTCATTACCAGCAAGAAAATGGGAAAGAAAAATTTAGCCTAGCTTTAAATTCTACATTTAAGTTGCTTACATAATAGCTATAACCTAATTTATTAAGCTTTAATACTTGGGTTTTCTTTTTAAAAAATCTTCATGATGAGATTTATCTTCAGGTAATCTCTGAATATCTTCCTTTGCTCTGTAATTATGTAAAATCTGTCATACAAATCAGTAGAACTGGGGCTTTATAAACCAAAATTAAGAAGGTAAATGAACAGAATTACTATTCCATTCCTTCAAGCACCAATATGAAATAAAAGCATTAAGTCATAACATAAATTTTAAGTGATTTCCCAGTAATTCCAAATATTCACTTAAAAACATGTAATTCCAAAACATCATGTTGCCCAAACTTTGAGATTTTATGAAGTTATTTAAATTTAGGAAAATATATTTCTTCAGTCATGAGGTTTTATGTAGGAAGTACGTATTAATGGTTAATCAACTCATTTGATTAACCATTAAAAATATTTTTCTATAAATCATATCAAGAGTAAACCAACTTATGTCTCAAAGACTGAAGGTTCATGTAGAAATCTCAAATGCACTATTTTGAATTGCTCAAAGACTTGCAAAATGAACTGATTATTTTAGAAGGCAGTTTAACATTTTTGTTTAATTCCTGAATATCTGTTGCCATTAATTTGGTGGCTCAATTGGACAACTTCAAATGACTAGTTTCACATAGAAAACATTTTATTTAGCTATGGCATATAGATTCATGGGCTCACCTGATCAGAGCTTTTTCACCAAAGTATTCTCCTTTCTGCAGTGTTTTAATCAGCTGTGGTTGATCGTGGCCCTCAGTACTCTGAGTGACTTTAACCTAAATAATGTTAATCGATTAAAAAGGAGGGGGAGAATCAGACACATATCCATTCAAGCAAACCCTCCAGACCTAGATAAACTTGATAAATGAGGGAAAAAAGATAAGATTTTCCTTTAATTTTACAGTAGTAAGACAATTAACTACACTCAGCTCATTTTGATGGATATGAGTGATCCTGTGGTTTAACACAAAGGACTATCTTCTGAAAGAAGAAGATTCTCCACTTAAACCCTACCTCCTAAAGTTAATTTTTAAAAGTGAATCTAGTGATTCCTTCCAAGACATTCTCAAAGGAAATAATAATGGTCCTGTGGGAACTTTTGTTACTCCAGAAAGCTTAACAAGAATTGACAAATTAATCAAGAATAATTAATCAAGAATAAAGTTGAGGACTGAGAATGTAGCTCAATGGTAGATCACTTGCCTAACATGCATGAGGCTCTGGATTCAATCCCAAGTACCACCAAAACAAACAACAACAACAAAAACAAACAAAACACGAATAAGGTTGAATATCGGGAGTCCTAAGTCAGGTGTCCACAGATTTGCCAAATCCTATGTATCTACTAAAACTGGATACAAAATGTGGGTTGGAAATGGTTCACAGCTTCTATGGGCATCTCCAAGTGAACCCATGGCCCAGGAAACTGTAAAAACCCTGTAGCACAGCCAAACAAAACTTTAATATTGCATATCTGTGGCTAGAATTATTTTAATTCAACACAGTAATAAATGTTGTTTCATGCTGATTAGAATTTTTGATTGACACTCATGTATGTTACAATAAATTTAAAAAATTAAAAATAATGATAGTAAGTACAAATGTTAATTAGCAAGAATTCTTTCATAGCATAGGTCCAAGTAGGGGAGAAGTAGTTAAGATGTGGTTCTCACTGTTGACGAATAAGAGGTTCGAAACTATTTTGTTCATGTTTTTTCTTCACTGGGGGCCCAGTTCAAAGTTCACCCACAAACCAGTTTACAAAAGGCAGTGCCCAATCCTCTCTTTCATGGAAGAGGGAACATACACAAAATATCTGACAGACACAGGGGCTCAAGAGATTTGATTCCTTCAGTATTTCATAAATGCTTTTTGTCTTTGACAAACCTTAAGAGTCAACATAGGAACAACTGACAACATTTTATCTATTCATAGTTAGGTAAAGAAAAAGACCTATTTTATATGTAATATATAAATAAAATTTTATAAATATTATAAATCAACAATATAAAATTATAAAATACATAAATAAAGATAAATTTAAATTCACAATTACATAAATAAAAAAGTAAATAAAAATAAAATTTTCATCAGTATCTAAGTCAATTTCAGCTACTGCGTAAAAATTTAAGTTCCAAGCTTATTGGCTCTATAGTTTAATGCCTGACCACTGCCACCCCCATCTGCTGAGCTCATTCCCTTCCACTTGCCACCTGTCACATCTGTTAGAAAAATGTTCTAGCCCTGTTCTTGGACCCTGGAGCTGACTGAGAATCACATACTCATAGCTATAAATAACCTCAGAAACCATCCAGCTACTGTACACCAGGAATCAAGGTCCAAAGAAAGTCAAGTGACCTGCATAAGGTCACTAAAAGGAGACTATCTCACCTGGAACCCACCACAAGTTTCCTGTGGCACCCACCCTCAAACCCAGCCCTCAGGTAGACCCCAGAAGATTCTTTTGGAGGAAGCTCCAAATACATTCAATGTAGAGACTATCTTATGCTGCAGTACAGAATATTGCTGCATTTATGGCAAAATGATTAATTTTTAAAAAATTTATTTTAAGTAAGTTTTAATTAATATTTACCTTTCCTTTTGCCAAAATGAAAAAGGTACTCCCTTCCTCGCCCTCTCTAATGATGTAATCGCCTTTGTCGTAGTATTCCTATTGGGATGAGAAAGAAAGAGGATGTGAGGTCCAGCAGAAAGGTACAACTGAAGACACAGGGAAACAGGACTCTTTGGGTTTCTGAAATGAGTCTCCACACCTGTTTCTTTAAATTTTGGTCTACCGTATCTGTTTTTCTTACATTGCCATCATAAACTGTACAAGAGGTGACTTTTACTTTACTTTTGCACTTGTATGTTTTATTTCACAGAAAAAATTCACCTGGAATACTGAATTTCAGGTATGGAGACCACGACACGAAGAGACGCAAAAGCAGGGCAGCGATCTCTATGCACTGGTGCACTTTCACCTACATAATCTAAATACAAACCGCACAGTGATGGGTAACAGTCTGAAAACGAGGTCCAGGATTTAGAAAAGAGCAAAAAATCACATAATAAGTTGAAAATATCACCCTTAATGGGTATTAGGAAAATCAACCTCAATTTCTAATTTCCTGGAGAGCAACAACTGCTGGGACAATTGCATATATACACTAAATCGCTATGTTATACATATTACTTCCAAAGATTCATCATCATAAAAGATCATAAAGATACTGGAATTTTTTACACATAAATTCTATTTTTAAATGTAGTTCCATCTTCATGAAATCTCAAATGACCACCTACTTCTTTTTATGTATGAATGCTTCCTTTATTTATAGATGATTGTGTGATTGGAGAATTATTGGGTAGGGAAAAGTAATTTATCCACCTGTCAGACCAAAAGAGCAATTCAGTACCCGAGAAAACAAAAGATGGATTAAACTGTCTGCCTCTTTATTGCTTTAATTGGATCTTGTCTGGAAATCATACAACTAAAATGTATCTCTTAATTATTTATACAAACAAAAATGGGATTGTTTAATTTTTTAAAAAGATATAATTAACACATAATAGCTTGCTGTCTCTTTTTTCTTTTAGACTTGAAAGTAATTTCAAACTAAACAACTTCTGTGTTTGTTTTTTAAATACCTTTCTGGTCATTTACTCTTAAACACAACTTACCTGTATGGAATAAACATTACTAAATCTTTATTATTACTGTTAAATATTATTTATTAATTTTAATATTTATAAATATCAATATTTATTACAACTGTTTAATATTAATAAACATACCTTTTATTTTCATAGCACAATGTATATCTTACAAGACATTTCAACATTTCATAGAAAGAAGCATGATATTTTAGGGTAGAAAAGTATTTTGAAGCCATACAGATCTAGACTCAAATCCTAGTTCTACCCTGAATTTTACTTTTATCTATCCATAAAATTATAATAAGAATATTTACCTTCGAAGATTTAAAAAAGTACATTAGTTTTTCTGCTACTGTGGAAACAAATGACCACCAATTTAGTGGCTTAGAATGATACCCTTTCATTATCTTAGGTTCTGTGGGTCAGAAAGTCCAGCCACAGCATAGTTCAGAAATGGCATAAAATCAAAGTGTCTGTAGAGTTGTGTTCCTTTCTGGATGCCAAGGGCGAGAGGAGGAATTGGCTTTCATGCTCATTCTGGTCACTGTCAGAATTCATTTTGGGGATGTGGTCCCCATTTCCTCACTGGCTATCTGTGGGAAGCTACCCTTACCTCCTGGACACCTCTGCTGTCCCCCTGCCTGGGGCCCCTACATCTCAGAACCAGCAATGGAGGGTCCAGTTCTTACCCCAGAAATCTCTCAGATTTCCACTTCTGCTTTTAGTCAGAGAAATTCTCTGATTTCTGGGGCTCATAGAATTATATTCACCCCACCTCGCCCATCCAGGGTAATCTCCTATTTTAAAGCCCCAAACCTTGAGTACATGTGTAAAGACTCTTTTGCCAGATAATGTGACATACTTACACATTTCAGGGATTGGAGTCTGGATATTGGAAAAACCATTTTGCCTACCATAATAAGCCAATGAAAGACAATGTTTTCTGAGGTACCAAAATAATCTTAAACATGGCAAATGCTTGATTAGTAATTGCCATGTTAAGGAAGAGGAGGATAATATTTGCTTAGTTAATATTATCTTCTGGACCTCAGTCTCCTTGTCTGTAAATTAATATTGCACATCTACCATAGGTACATAGTGCAGCTAAAAGATCTGGTGGAATGTTTGGTACAGAACAGGCACCTGGTGACTGTTAATTCCCATAAAGAGAGTGCAAGGTGGTCATTAGAGTCTTCCACAGGAATATATGGTTATCCAGATAAATTATATTCCTGCTGTTAGTTGCAGCCATATAATCAACTTCTGTCTAAAAGAATCAAAACAGAGGTGATGTGTACCTTTTTTCCAAAAAGGTCTAAGAACCCTTTCATGTATGTATCTTCCTACTTTCCCCCAGTTTTAATGGTATAGCCCAGAAGGACTTTGTAGTCGTGAGTCTGGGTTCCTGAATGACTATGTGGAGTCAATAGGGCCATACTCCCTAGACTGTCAAATGAACAGGAGGCAGAATTGTATTTATCCACCTGTCAGACCAAAATTTTTGTATGATTAATGATTAATGATGATGGAAACTATAGTGTGACTATTCCCCCTGCCATTTTCTAAATTTCTTTGCATCAATTTACTTACTCTAACTCTTCATTCTTCCTCATTTTATATTTATCCCAAACATTCACTGTAGACAAGCTTAAATTTAAAATGGCAATGACTATGACCCTTTTGGATGACCTCATTCCCATAGTCCTGCTGTCTTTATCTAACTAATGTTCAGTTCTCTTTAATAAAACTGCTGGGGTCATGTTTTATATTCTCATTTCTAATAGACTGCCCTTCAGTCTCTCTTGTCCTCATCCCAATCTCAGTCTTCATTGCCCACATGGAGCAGAAGGACATGGAGAATTTTTGAGGCACTGCTAGGTTTTTCTTCTATTATTATAAAGCCTTTGGTACATATAGAGGTACAGCTTTAATTCCTGTCAATCAGTAAGTTTGAAGGTGAAAAGCTTGAAAGGATACCTGAGATAGAGCTTCATTGTTTCTTAAGGGACAAATTTCCTCGTGGTATTTTTCCCAGGGATGATTCTTTGTCACCCCAGACCATGGGAGGAAGATAAATAATACCTCCCAGTGTATTGACAGTAACTTCATAGATCAGAAAAGGCTGTGGAAATAGGTCAGACCAAAAATATACAGTGGTAAGTACTGGCTGTGATGCCGGACTGCCCAGTGTTTGTCAACCAGGGAGAGTAGCCAGTCAAGCCAGGGTGGTCACCAAGACCAAAAAGAGAAACGCAAACAGTGTGGTTATTGTCCTTGTGGTTACACTGCAGAGGGGTCTCTCAGAAGAAGCCATAGACCCTGACCTGTAGAGCAAAGTTTTCAAGCATTTTTTATTCTTACCTTCAGTAAGAAATATATTTTACATATACACTCAATACACACATAAGAGTGTGAACACATACATTTATATGAAACTAAAGCATGGTTTTCAAAATGATACTTACTACTCTGATTTTTTTAAAGTTCCCACTAAACTGATTTCATGACCTAGCAATGATTCATGACCCACAGTCTGAATAAGATGTTTTAAAAGAAGATGTCAAGAAGCCTGGAAAGTAAGTACTTAGTGTATGAAAAAAAATCAATTAATTTCAGGATAGAATAAATGGTAGAGATCACAAGAAAACTATACAAACAGCAACAGCCAAAGGTGGAAAGATTTTATTTTTGCTGTACATAAAATGCTTATACTATGATAATCTAGCAAAAGTCTAAATACAGTGCCCATAAAAATACTATATGAAACCAGAAGAAACTCAAAGGTGATGGAAAAAGAAGCATTTTAGACTTCCTTAGAGTATATAGTTTATAGCTAGAAATCTCATTACAATTAAGTATTGACAATTTATAACAAGATGTAGTATACACATACATATGCACACACACACACAAACACACACACACACATCCTCGGTGCCTCAGTTCTCTACTTCTCAAATTTGTTTAAAAAACTGCTTACAGTTGTTTGAGTATAAGTAGTTTAAACAAACTTGGGTACATAGAGAATTAGTAATTTTTTCCAAGTACAATAGTTACAATCTTAGAAATATTAAAAGAGATACACCTAGATCAGCTGGACCCTATCAACCATTCAGCATTAATTTGGCACTCGGTTTGTTATTGCCAAGGAACTAGATCCTATAAAATAAAAACCAGCAGAAATTATTTCTATTTGAGCAAGTCAACTACATAGAATTCACTAATATAAACAATGAAAGAGCCCATAGAGATGTGGTCCACAACCCTCTTGTTTTGTAATGAGAGGACACTATAGCTAGAAATCTCATTACATATGTTCATTATGATTAATGGACAACTGGTAGTGACAGAGAAAGGACCACAAACTCTGGTCTCCAGACTTTGGACTGGTGAACTTTGTACAACTCCCAGCAGCCCCACCTTTAACTCACTAGTCCATAAACTGGCAAAATCCACAATGATCTCAGCTTTCTCATGACTCAGGATATAATCCTTAAAATGAGGAAAACTATCTGGCTTATCCAACTGTTATTAGGAACTTTAAGAAAGAAAGACTAAATTTTGAAAAACAAAAAAAAAAAGATTAAAAATGGAAAATTCCTATATGAAGTGACAGACTGGGGAAATTTGAATACATGTATTCTAGTCATAAACATATATGTGTTTCTCAAACTTTAGTAAGCATAAGTATCCCAACATTAAAAGTTAAAAATGTGAATTTTGGGGCCTCTATCAAAGTTGCTGATTCAGTAAGTGAAGGATGTTACCCGGGAACCTGCCTTTTAACTTTCAAAGGGCCCCCCAAGTCTGAAGAAGGAAGGATAAGAACATTCCACACTACTCTAAATCCACTCACCCCCTCTCAACTGTGAAAGATGTGAAAGATGACATCTTTTGTGAAAGATGTCAGAGTGGCGGTGCACAAGGCCACTAGGTCAAATACCAGAGCTCTGTAACAATCAGTGAGGTGACCTCATGATTCATCATGGGGCTTGTAACTCAGACAGCACAGTCAATCCCATGCTTCTGGACTGATCTGTGAATGGGAAGAGAAACCCCTTCCTCTCCTATATTGTTCTGCATAATGGCAGGGGGAATAGTCACACTATGGTTTCCAGCATCATTAATCATTAATCTCCATCCCAAATCTGTATCATGCTTTATGACTTCACTATCTTAAGCACCTCAGTGAGTGTGTTATTGTTATTCTCACTCATTCCCCCATGAGAACATGCAAAAAGGCTTAATGACAACGTCTGCCTCCAGAACCAAATGATCTGAGTGACTTAAGCTAGAGTCAGAAATGCTATTGGAGCACTGCACAATGGGGGCCATTGGGTCTAGAAACTCAATAGTGTTCAACAGTCTACATCTTAAACATGTCAGGCCAACTGCTTCTTTATGGGAAGTTCTGATACCCACCCCCTTGTCCACCCAACATCCTCCCAAACACATACACATGGGGATAAAAACTCCCTTTATCAACTCGTAAACAGCATGACAGATTCTATTTTCTCAAGGATTATGGAACCAGTTTGTGGTACAGCTGGTCCTAGAACTCAGCAGGCGCTCTGTCATAACTTGGGTGCATTAGGAATAGATCATTGTCGGACCATGTGGACGGGTCATTAGTCCAAGCTATGCTGGTAAGGTATGTGCTTTTCTGAGAGCTAAAGAGATTCCATTACTCCCTTGTTCATTGCTTTTGCATCTGAGAATTTTCACACATTACAGAGACACATTTGTTTGCCAGGTAATGAATAAAGAGCCTTTTATAAAACATGCTGTTTTCTGCAAATGCTTAGATATGGTAAAGCTTTTCTAAGGTGTTTTAAAAGATGAGACTCAAACTTGAATTGTGTGCTAATTAATACTGGATTCGAGTCCCCATCTATATGTTCTGTAGCTATTGCCTGTGGCTGTTTTAAATATGTCTAATTTACCATTTAATTTTAATGATACTAAATTTTCATATTTGCTGTCAGCATGGAATTCCCCTCTGGTGAATCTACTCTATTAGTTTTATATTAAAAACAGATTTCCTTGGTTAACAAAAAAATATAGGGTCTCTCTAGCTTTAAAAAAAATCCTCAGAAATTGGGATGAATTATTAATTTGTAACATCTGTGATTGGTTTATGTTACATTGGGGAAATCCCAAGAGATGCAGAATAAGCAGTCTTCTTGAAAATGACTTCATATCTGATCCCCATGGGGACACAAGGCCAGGCATTGTGTTATCACGGTCTGTCCCAGATAAACTGCTGGATGGGTTCCATGAATTGTAAATGGAAACATTACTGGTGTCACTTACACTTAAGGATGAAATGGTCCCTACTCCCTTCTCAACAGATATTATTTTACATTGCATATTGTGATTGACAGAGGCATGAATCTGTCAACAATCAGCCTTGTAGGGCTTTTTTATATTCCTCCCACTGAGAACAGCTCTATTAAAGCTTAAAGTCTACATGTGACTTCTTTGCCATTCCCTACCTCCTTTAAATTCCATAAAATCCACTTTAGTTTCAATGAAATTGACCCCCACGAAAGTTAGAGAGGTTATTTGCTTTGAATTTTAATCTCTGAAATCCGAAGAGGTTTTCATAAGATGCATATCATTAGCATCCAAGGTATGTGTCATTGAAGTATTATTCACGAAAAGACGTGAAGAGTCTTGGACAGGAACCAACCATCTGGGTGATGCTTAAAATGAGTTTTGAGTACATTCCAAAATGCCGTTTTCCTCCAGACATTAATATAGGTAAAGTGCTTCTTGAGTACAGTTTCTTAAAATGTATTTTCCTGGCCTAGAGTGTTCAAGTATAGAATGTTTCATAGTCTGATTCAGAGGCTTGTCACCAGAAGCACCAACATGCCCTTTCTGTGCTCCATTTCCTAATTATGCCTCACTGACTCCTTTCTACTATGAAAACTCTGTAAGGGATTGTGATGTTAATTGCAGAAAAATCAAATGCCTCTTGAGTAAGGCAGATTAGTTTTATAAAATATACTAAAAAGATTAAAATATGTAAATCAAATTTCACTTTACACATGCAAATCCAATTTCCTTTTATACATTTCAAAAGAATCTAACTCTTCCCCAGCCTCTTATTTCAGCATGAGTTAGCCTAAGTTTTCACAATAGAAAAATGTTTCTGGTCTCTACAGAATAGTGATCTACTGTCTTTTCCTTTTTATTCATTTATAGTGCTAATAACACAACCAGATTCTAAACTCTAATGAAATGTACTTTAAATGTCTTACCACTTCCAAACAGTCAATGATCTTGGTCAGTTTATCTTCTGGTAAATTCTTCAGCAAGGATACACTTCAAAATCAAAAGAAATCTTTCCTTAATATAAATATCTTTCTGAGTTTAATTATAAATATACAAATATACATTATATAGATTCTAAAGTTTTTATATTTATTTAAAAATTGTAATGCACTCTAGTTTTCCAAGGTAAACCTTTAAATAACAGAAAACACATAAATAACAGAATTTTATACACATTAGAAATTACATAATATGATATGTATAATTTCATAAGTAAATAAATAAAAATAGTAAGATCAAGGGGAAAAATCACATTCTGTCTAACAGAGGAAAAATTACTTGATTGTCGTTGTTGGTTTTCAAAGTGATTAGCATCTATAAATGTGTTCCTCTCCATATCTCAGTATCTTTTCTATTAGTTTGGGTAAGGAGTTCTGCTTCCAGTGGAGGATCAGATTTTCATCCAAAACCTTGTGATTAAATAAAGACTGAATTCAGAGGAACATGGGAATTAATATTGAAATGACCTTTGATTATTAGTCATACTGTGTTGTCCTTTCAAAAATCAATGGTAGCCAGAGGCATGTAATAGGAACATTGTTACAGATAACAATATAGAGAGAAGTAGAATGCTGAAAACTATTATTTTAAAATATCAGAAATTTCAGTATGATTAATCAATCAACATGATTCAATTGTTCTCCTAAATTTCTCTTTTATTTTACCCATTTTAATTCAGGACTGTTAATATAATTCCTATAAGAAAAATAAATTATTCTTACCATCTAAAATGTGACACCCCTACAGGAAAAAATAATGCTACTCCGAAAAATGCACAATTGGATCTGAGTTTGTAAAGGGAGAGAGCTCTAGACTGACTTTTTGCACACATGCACCAGGAGGCACAGGCCAAGACACATGTATAAGAAGGTTTGCACCCGTATCCTTTGTAATTGCAAATCACTGAAGAAACCTCAGTGGAGAACAGACATTTACACAGTGTTAGAGCCAAGTAATAAAACTCTACAATAGGAGAAATGAATCTTAGTGAAAACTTGAGTTGCAACAATAACACCATTTTCATAAAGTTAAGCTATAGGCAAAACTATTAAAAAACAAAAAAAGATATGATCACTAAACTTTCAAATGCAGATTACTTTCAAGGAGAGGGGATTCAGGAGGAAATGACATGAAGAGGCACATGAAAAATTCAAGGATGCTGCTAATCTTCTTTTCCTTATATTGAATAATAGTTTCATGGACATTTATTCTGCTATAATTTTAAAAATTTTAATGGATATATAAAAATATTAAAATTTTACATATTTATGGGTACTCTGTGATATTTCTGTACATGTATATACATTGTACAATGTTCAAGTTGGGGGAAATATTTATCTTCTCATTTATTATTTCTTTATGGTAAAAACATTCAAAATCCCTTCTTCTAGCTTTCTGAAATACTTATTACATTCTCATTATATATAGTCAGCCTACTGTGCAACAGCACATCAGAACTTCTTGCTTCTATCTACCTATACCTTAGTACCCACTGATCCGCCTCTCCCTATCCCTCCCTTTTCCTACCTTCTGTAGCCTCCAGAAACCACCATTCTACTCTCAACTTTATGAGATGAACTCTTAAGTCCACACATGAGTGAGATTATGTAGTTCTTGTTTTTCTATTTCACTTAACATAATGATCCTCATTTCCAGCCATGTTGTCACAAATGACAGAATTTCATCTTTTTTCATGGCTACATGGCACATGTGTACCACATTTTTTTTATGTGTACATTGGTTGGTGGACACTTAGGTGCTTCAATGAACATGGGAATGCAGATGTCTCTTTGACAAAGTTATTTCATTTCCTATGACTATATACCCAGTCATCAGATGGCTAGTGTCGTGATATTTTGTAATTTACATAAGGACCACATATCTTATATATCACAGACTTTATAATAAAAATGGAAATGAAAAAAGAAAGAGCTCACTGTACATTATGAAACAAAGAAAAATATATTTTGCTAGTTTGTCTCCCTATTGATGAAATGATAAAAGGATAACCAGAACTTGTCTTTGATTAACACATACTTAGTATGAAAGTTTAACTTCTGGTCCAAACTGGGATCTATGACATTAGTAAGTCTGTCACCTTAGGGGCACAGTGAGGAAATGGATATGAGGGGAAATATTAGTATGTCTATGAAGGCAGGCATCAGGTTTATCTTATTTACCATCTGAGTTTATAATATTTTCTACCTGGAAATAAATTGAAAGAATGAATGAAGTATCAAAAGGAAGGAAAGAAAGAAGGAATGTATCTTAGTACATTATCTAAGCTCCTTCCACTAGGAACATACTGGACTTGGGGGAGAATTAACTGCTCTGCATGTAGTGGTTTAGGTTTTATCTCAGATGTTCAAACATAACCTTTGGGCACTAGTTATTTATGTATCCTTTATTGGCTCTTGCATAAGTGCGGCTTATTAGCTTTAAATGCTGACCTGTGTCACTCAGTTGTTGGACTAGAGATCACCTATATTCAGGGAGATCCCACAAAATGATGACTAAGCACTGGCTGGCTATCAGATAAGGCACCTGCTTGTCATTATCGCCCTTCTGCCAGGAGCCATTACTGCCCTTGAAAGGGTCAATCACTACAATTCTGTATGAGAACTGATACTTGCAATGTCCTACTGATTAACAATGTGTTCCTTCAGGATTTATTGAGCTCTCAATATATGCTAGGCACTATACATCCCCAAATCACTGACTTCAAAGGCGTATAATGCAAGATGAAATCACTATGCTGTACTTCAGAAGAACTTAGAATTTATTTTTGGAAACTATGCAATGCATTATTAACACTTATAAGTGACATTTCATTACAGAATGTACTACAGATTCAGAGACTATCAAAACTCTCAAAAATGATACAAAAGTAGTTTAAGAAACTTAGATTTTCAAAAACTTTATCCAATTTGGAATTGGCTTTTAAAATTACATAGATATTTGTTTCTCTATAAATTCATGCATTCAAGTAAGTCATTGAGGTACAGAATATTTCACAAAATGATTTATGTTTCAAGGATCCATGTCATCACGACAAGTATAGTAATGTTTTTGGCAAGTTAATTTCCTACAAATAATTTAATAATTTGGAAGACAGTGTGATTATGTGAATAAAGAAAAAGAATGTCTCATTTAAAGCAAGGAGAGTAAATTAAATTAATTTTAATATTATTCTAAGCAAAGCAATATTAGAAGGGATATCTTTTTGCTAGCCTCTTTCAAATTTCATATATCTTTCAAAGTCTAGTGAACACTCTGTTGAATATTTTAGGATTTTTTTGTACATTTTTCTATACTATACACTATGGTTCCATGAATACAAGGGAAAAATTAGCAAGAGAAATAAATCAATACACAAAGCTAATGGGAATTAAATGTAATACTTTTTACTGATACTAGCATTTATTGCAAGGAAATACTTTTGCTCCTTGGTTTAATAATGTGGAAAATGGGAGAAACTATATTAAAATAAATATTCTGATAAAACAGTCATATCCACACTATGGTTACAACATTGGCTGCACTTTCTCCCAAAGTATTATTCTTACCTTCTGAGGAAGTTTCTGTACTGTTCATCTCTAGCTTGAGCTGTCCTCCGCATTATATTCTGGAAAACCTCTCGATCTAATGCCCATGTTTTAACATTGGTAATAGCTTTAGAAAAATGGAGAAAATAACAAAACATTATTTAGCATCACATCAAGAAAACTTTCCAGAATGTTAATAGGGTGAATTTGCATTTCTTGGAAAATGCATTATTTAAACATGCAAATGGAAGGAAGCATCAAAATAAATATTAATTTTATAAATCATTTTGGCTCTGAGATGTACCATGATTTGGAATTGGAAGATTTGCTTTCTAATTATCTTTCGGTTAGGATGATATTCAAATGTTTCAATTTCCAGTTATACACTCCCTCATCAGGACACATGTTAGAGAAGGCCAGTCAACCTGTGGCCAACCTAGAGAGTGAAGAATTCACAGGCAGGTAAATTGTAGTTAAGGATTTCTGTGTGTATGTGTATGTTTCTTGTGTGTCTTTTTATGTTGTTTAGATCTCGTTGCCACAAAAAGCCTATATATTTCAAGGATCTCTGTAGTTATTCACATAAAATGCTTACGAATAATTTTTAAAGAAGTTACAAAAGACAGTTTTTACAAAAAAACAGTTTTAATAGGAAAGATATTAAAGGCAAGCATAAGATCCCAAAAAGAAGTAGAGTAGAAGTAACAGCTTTAAAAATAATTTAAATGAAATTACAATTATAGGATAAAAAAAATAGAGTAATGAGAACCTACAAAATAGATCAGAAACTAAAGATCCACTTTATCAAACTTTACAGTGAATTAGAGTTATCATGATAGTCTTCCTAAAAATACAGATTCCTGGGCCTCGTGACCAGAAATTCTTCATATTTGGAGTGGAGCCCCAGAGTCTGCATTTTCATTAAATATCTCAGCATGTTAATATATGTAACCCAGTCTCAAACACTGAGATACACCACATCTAAATAATTTTGAAGAAAATCCAAGATTGCATGAATAAAATCAGTAAAAATAAAATCAGTAGAACTACTTAAACAAATCCTAAAAGTCATTCATGCAAACTCTCATTTCTTTAATTCACATCCTTTGTGATGCTTACATTTTTTTCATTTGATTAATTTTTTCATTTAATTAATTTGGTTTGATTAATTTTTCTAATCAGAACCTTATGGAAACTAAAGAGCAAACATTCTGAATGAGCTAGTGATAGATGTCTACGTAGTAAAAGATGAAATGGCAATTTTTAAAATGTTGGAATCATTTAGTTTAAAGCCATTTTTAAATTGTATACACAGGTACCTGAGAGAAAAGTTCTTTTAACTTGAACTGTTTAGAGAAATGCTTCCATATAAATCCTATCATAGGCATAGCATTTCTATGAATAAGAGCATATAGGGCAAACTAAAAGACAAAGGTTGGACCAAGATGCAAACCTGACTTAACAAGATAATCTTCTAGCACCACGCAAGAATTCAAAGACATCATTTCATCTCCTGTTACCTTTCACAGAGGCAGTCCTGGTACAGTTGTATAAAATGGCTAGTTCACCAAATGTGGTCCACATAGGGATGGATGATAGCAATTTCTCTCCTTGGAACACCTCTAGTCGACCCTCTATCAAGTAGAATTTAAGACAGATACAAATAATAAAAATCAATCTGTATTTTGTAAATGAAACAACAACCAAATATATGAAAATCATCCAGGTAAGATATCTTATTATTCTCATTGTAATACAGTGGTTAAAAATACAGCTGAAACCAGCACTGCCACTCACCTTGAGAAAGGTACCCTTTCTGTCTGAAATTCCTTATCAATAATGGGAGTATTAATAATATTTCCCATTGTTAACAATGGGGAAATATTCATGCTATATTCTACAAAGGGGGATTTTTAATTACCAAATTAAGTTACTCAGCCAGATAATAATTTCACATATTTGTCATGAGAATAAGTTAATATCAAGAAGGAACATAGAATGATGGGTAGCACATAAGAAATGCTACATCAGCCATTACTAATATTGATTGCTATCACTCTAACAAAACTCCTTCCCTGAAGTGGTGAATGCCGAGTGTTTTGTTTAAAGTTTATTCTACCTTATGCAAATCATAGTACATGAAATAATTGATCTCTTATTAGGAATACAACCATCATGGTGTTGAAAACACAGAACAGCTGTTCACAGTGACAGAAGGACGATGTGTCATAGGTATAAGCACTTGTCTTGCAGTCAGACTGCCTGGCTCTGGGTCCTGGCTCTACTAATTACTGGCTGTGTGACCTTGGACAAGTTGCTTCATGATCCTCCCTGTTATCTAACTTTTCCTGCATTTAAATGTAATAACTATTAATCATGAAAGCAAGTCACTAGCAAGAGTGTTTGGCACAGCACGTGTCTGTACTTAGGCAAAGATGAAAGGAAGGGAGAGGCAAAACTAAGATATTCACAATTCTTTTACCCTGGCAGCTCTCATCTCCTTCCTCTTCACATGAAATCATATCTAACCAAACTCATAAGCCAAAAGTACCCAAATTCTTAAAGGGTAATGTCCCTTCCCTTAAAGTATTAGTTTCTTTCTCCTAAGTTACCACTGTGTAGATCTGGGTCATCTCCTGTCCATCCTTTCATTCAACAAATCTGATCTGAGTACCTTCATTGTCCCAGGAACTGTTTCAGATGCCACAGCAACAAAGTGGACAAAAGAGACAGAGATTCTTATTCTGATAAAACTTATAATTCATAAGAAAAACAAAAAGCAATCTCTGTTTTGGTTCAAAATCCCACAGATTAGATATGCAATGTAATAATTTCCCATTACAGCTAATTCTATTCTATCAAAGCCACTTAGTGGTACTGTCCAGTTGATATTACAGATATTAGTGCATTTTAAGGCTTTTCCCTAATTGGTTATGGTTCATGGGACCTGAGTAATGCTGAAGAATTAAACAGAATACCGAATTTCTAAGTTAATATGCTTGTACTATTTGCTATTCATGCTATATTCTACAAAGGAGGATTTTTAATTATCAAATTAATTTACTCAACCAGATAATTAAACCAGGCAAATCATTCTTTAGATGACAGCATAATTAATTCAAATAAAAAACCATCCAATTTCCATTTCCATGTGTGCTATATCTCTGATCTCAATAGCAACATAGATGCTGACGTCTATTCAACCTCTTCCCTCCCCAAGTTTTTCATCAGAGTTAACTGGCAAGGAACAAGATGGGCTGACATGAGTTTCTCATGCTCTCCTAGCAAGTTTCACAAATATTTGTTACTTAATGACCTATCTTCTCTTCCCAGAATTTTCTAGTGTGGCTAAAACAGATGTAAAATGCCCAAGAGAAAAGTTGCATGAGAGAAAAATTGCTCCAGATCACCTGTCCTATAAAGCTGAAGGCTGTTTTAGATATACTGGGTTAAATAAATTATTCAAATTTTAAAAATTATGGGCTGGGGTTGTGGCTCAGTGGTGGAGCGCTTGCCTAGCATGTGCAAGACCCTGGGTTTGATCCTCAGCACCACATATAAATAAAATAAAGGTATTGTGTCCAACTACAACTAAGAAAGTAAGCAAATATTTTTAAAAATTAAAAAATTTAAAATTTAAAAAATAAAGACTGACTAAATTAAGGCTATAATGCACTAGTTGAATAGAATTATTACTTGGGAATGACCATATGACTTTAAAGCTGCCTATAAAAATATATGGCAAATAATACACAAATAACTATAAAAGTAGCATGTTTAAAGAATCAAAGTATATGAAAATGATTTTTTGTACATTATAAATAGAATAATACATGACTATTAGATTGTTTAGAAAGGCACCTTGTGTCCCACACCTAAGGTCCCAAGGAAATACGAATAAAGGCAACTGCTTAGCTTATCAAGAACTTCCAACATAAAATAGATCACAGCATATCTCAATTTACCACACCATCTGGGTAAACCAATTTAACTTTCTTTCCTAGGCTTGGGGCAATTCAGAATTTAACAAGGCATCCAATAACCATAATCCCTGCTCAGATAATTTCTCGCTTCTATATCTAAAATTTTTTTTGAGTAGTCCTTATATAACTTTCTAGCATGTATGCATGTTCAAGTGATCATAGATAAAGGAAGCCATTTAATTAGTTCTAAAAACACCAGTTGTTACTGTAAGGCACTCTACAGATTTGTCTGTTGGTTAAATGTACCTAAATTATCCTTTGAAATCATTGGTATATAGCCAAAATCATTTCCAAAACCACGATATTTTTTCCTGGTATAATTATCTAAAACTAAACATAAGCAGCTGTATTTTGAATGGAAGCACTTTTTTTGCAGGTGGCACTGTAATTAAAAATATGTTTCATAAGTTAGATTGCCTAAATTTGCATTTTGCCTTCACCACTTATGAGCTGTGTGGCCTTGGATAACTTACTTAACCTCCTGGGACATATTCTCTGTTAGTAACATAAAGATAACAGCACTTGTATTATAGGGTTGGTAAGAAAATGAAACAAGACCTCCCAACTGAGTGTTGAATAGAATATCAGATATATAGAAAGAATTCAGTAAATATTAACTATTGCCAGCACGATGATTAGATTAATGATGTTGCCTTTCATGAACTCACTCTATTAGATTTCTACAAATAGAGAAACTGGTTTTGTACTTTTATAAGTGTTTGCAAAAAAATCACAAGACAATAAGCAAAACATTTGTTATAGGATAACTGAAAAAAATCTGCAAAACCCACCTGCCAGCACAAATATATGGTTTCCTGGTTCTCCTTGCTTAATAATGTAACTGCCTTGCTGGTAGTTTCTCCCATACATGCATTCCACCATGTCTTTGATCTGCTGAGGATCCAGTCTCTTCAGGAACTGGTTTTTATTAAGGGCATCTGTAATGAGCTTCTTCTCACTGGTGTAATGGGAAAGAATTGTTAATTGCAATTAATTATTTTTTTATTAATTAAAACCAAGCTTTACTATCTAGATTTAATTCATTCAGATTCTCAATATCACTACCAATATACTTAAAACTTTTCCTTCAAGAACACAAATAATTTTAGCCCCACCAAATATCTCATCCTTATGATTCCTAATACCTTACATGTAAAACTCTTCAAAATTATTTCCCATATTTTTCTGGTAGTTATTATTACACGAATTTTAATATTATTCTTAGTTCTATCACCACACATGTAGCATCTCTCAATAACCCTACCAAAAGGCACACGATTTTCAGATGAAAATCAAGTCTGGTGAATATGAAGAAGTTGTGTTAAGGGACTACAACACAGTATTCATTCATTGTTGTATGCATACGGCTTTATTTATATCTTATTTAATCCTCACAAATATCCTATGAGGTAAATGCTATTTCTGTTTTATAGAGAAGTGAACTAAGAGGTAAAAATCAACTTATTCCTTGGATGTTTTAAATCTAAATCCGTGATGAAGTCTATGCTGTTTCTATTCCACCCACTGCCTCTTCTGAGGAGGAGAATTGGCTCCTGTGAGGCTCTTTAGATTTGATCAGACATAGAGGGTAATGGTGAAAATCTTTACCTCCTTAGATTCCACTCTAAGTATGTCTAGACTGAACCTATATTTGCAATGTCACACCCTAGTCATTCCCCAAATTCAAGTCTTGCTTGGTCATTCTAGAACACTCTGCTTTCTATTGAGGGGGAAAGGTAGCTTAAAATAGCAATTATCATCAGTTTGAAATGTTTTAACCCACATACATACTTTATTTGTAGATATCACATAATTATTGAACTGGAAGGAAAAATGCTTTAGAAACTTTCTGAATCTTTGCACAATGTACTTACTATCTAATTTTCTAAAATAGCTTTTTTTTAAAAATTTTTCATCCAAATGCTTTGAACACTATATTTACTGTTTGAAAACTAGTGATCTTTTTCTGAGTTCTTCAACATAAGGTAAGACTTCATGGCATTAGTCACTGTCTTCAGATCCCACCAGCGACCATTTGGTTACATGCAGGAAACAGAAAGAGGTCTCATATATAGACTGTCCTTCTTCCCCACAGTGACCCAATCATCCTCAGAGCCATCCAAGCTCATTGAAGACCTTGAGAACTTCCTTTCCATGTAAAAAACCAACAAATGTTGTTGATTTCCTGAACAAAGTATCACCAGTCTCCATTTCATTTTTTATCTTCAAAGATGACCCCATAGTCCAAAACCAAATCCCAGGTCTAGAGAAATTTAACACCTTTATTTGGGTTTTCAGTGTCTATCCTCTTTTCCTTACAGTTCCTCTTGTACTATATTATCAGATGGATCTTCCTAGAAAAAAAATGACCAACAAATTTCATTCTCATTTCACCCTAGTCCCATTTTTCTTTTATCCACTAAAGCAACAGTTCACTCAATTAAAAGATACTGAGTGAAAACTTTTGCTAGATCATCTTCTTGGTGCAAGTGGTAGAATTTTGATCAATACCAAAAAATAAAAAGCTCATGCTTCTGTGCCTTTTCATGACAGTATATGATATTCCAGTCACATATTTCCTTGGTGCCCACACATTCCAATATCCCAAAGTATGTTCCAAGAAACACTGCTTTATTATATGGGAAAGTGTGCTGAGTTTAAGCAGTTTTAGAAACAAGCACGCTTAAAAAAATCAAGTAAGTCTAGCAGTAAACAAATATGCTTAAAACAACATTTCCCAAACCTTGGTGCCGTTTTAAAGTTCATTTTGTTTAACTTCTGTTAACATTCCATGGAGGTACCATGAAATACCATTTCTTCCAGAGAAGAAAATATACATATCCCATGATCTAGTATTCATCATTTCCCATACCATAGCTCCACTCTACCCATCTAGTACCATTAGTACCCAAAACAAATGCTTTCTATAGGAGGCTGATATCCTGTCTTCTAAGACTGCCAACTTTACCTTAAGGCTTGGAGCATGTCTTCTCTTCTAATTTGATTTAATTTCTTCTCCCCTTAAACAAAACAAAAGCTGGCATTCAAGCCACATGATGAAGGAGGGGTCCTGATCAACACTTAAGATTTCAGGTGAGACAATGAAGGGCTACAACTTAGGGGTAAGGACTAGCCAAACCGGACTCATCAAAACAGTCTAGCACCAAAGTGTAAATCAAGTACCAAAAACCAAAACCCTATTTTGTTTACAATAATTTTCCCCAGCCCCATTGCCTGCCAGAAGCAAAGGTAAATCTTTTCTGCAAGAAGCTCACAAAAATCTCAAATTTCCTCTATAGTTCTTCCCTGAGGAATATCTGACATGACATCAGAAATTACCAAGCAGACCAAAAGATCCAATGTCTAAAGACCAGGAGGAAAAACAATAGGTAGAATTAGATCCAGAGTAGATAAGATATTGAACTTTTTAGGAACAGACTTCAATATAACTATAACCAGTACGTTTAAGAAAATCAAGGACAAAATGAAGAATGTGAACAGGAAACATGAGTTTTTTTAAAAGATCAAGTGGAAATTCTAAAACTAAAAAAATTGGTATCTGGTGCTGAGAACTCAATAAATGGCTTTAAAATCTAATAAGATAAAGGTAGAAAGAGTTAGAAACTGAATATGTACAGGCATAATAATATAACTATAAGGCAAACTGGAGAGAATACAAAATGGAAATAAGCAACCTCCCTCCCCCCCAAAAAAGTAAGAGACATAGGAGGCACGACAGAGTAATTAAATGTGTATAATCTGGGCCCCTGACACTAAGGAAATAATTGGGATAAAACAACATAGTAGGGGATCATATTCAAGAATTTCCTTAAATCAGTGAAAAGACAAACCACAGACAAGATGTACTATAAACTCCAAACAAAATAAATACAATTAAACCATATCTAGGCCCACCATATTGCTGAAAACAAAATACAAAAAGAAAACTCAAAAAAGCAACAAGAAATGAAGAGACACATTGCCTTCAAATGACCACCAATAAATCTACCTTAAGAAATAACAGAAGCTAGAACACAACAGAATATCTTCAAAGTGTTTCATAGAGCCTATTTCAAAATCTTTACCAAGTGAAGAAACCCTTCAGAAATGAAAGCAAATTTTCAAAAATGTTTTTGCATTGACAATAGATTTGTAAGAGTGGAGAGCGCCAGATAGAAGGAATATGATCCCAGATGAAAACTGGCAAAAGAAAAAGCGGTGGAAAAAGGAAGTATGTGGGTAACTAAAGGCAGCCTGTCTTTATGAAAGAGCAATTACAATAAGTTGTGGAGTCTAAAACGTATGATAAATAAATGAATGAAAATAGCAAAAACTGCAGGAGAGGGAGACAATAAGTGGAGTTAACATAATAGAAGGTCCAGGAATTGATAAAGGTACTAATCTATATTAGAACTTTAATAGAGTAATGATGCAAATAATTTAAAGTAATAATGTAATATTAGTCAAAGAATGCTTAACTATAAAGCCAAAAAATAGATACAATAGAAAAATATATGCTTAACCCAAGAAAATGGCAACAAAGTAGAGGAAAAGAAATGGAATAAGTGTGACAAATAAATAATAAAGAGTAAGATAATAAATTTAAACAATTATTTTATATTTGTATTAAATATGAGCTGACTAAATTGAATAAGATTGTCCAACTGACAAAATAAAACAAAAACTGCACACCAAATGAATATTAATTGAAAGAGAAGTGCTTTAAAGATATCAGTATAGAAAACTTGAAAGTAAGAAATGGAAAAAGATATATTAAGCACTGACTAAAGAGAAATTTTTTTTTTTGCTACAGGAAGGTAGACCTTAATGAAAAATTAAACTTCTAGAAATAGTAATATTTCATATTGATAGCACCAGGAATATGCAAATATTCTATCTATATACCTAGTTAGCTATATAAAGCAAAGTTGACAAAATAAAAGAACTTGATTAATCTTCCACAATAATTTTGGGAAATTTTAATATCTCCACATAACTAGAAATAAGCAGACATTGGAAACTAGATGATCTAAGTAACTGATTATCAAATTTTACTTAATTTCCTGATCCAATTGATATTTTTAAAGTCTATATTTAATATATTTGAAATATGTACTCTTTTCAAGTGTATATACACCTCCATGAAAATTGACCATACTGTGATCTACAAAGAACCATAAAGTTTCAATGAATTTCTTAAGATCAAAATAATGTGGAATATATTCTTTGAATATAGTAGAATGAGTTAGAAACAATAACAAAAAATATAAAATTCTCAATTTTTTATGATTGAACAATGCATTTCTAAAGACCCCACTGATCACAATTAAATCACCAGGTAAATCAAATAATGTTTTGAAATAAAGAATAGTAAACTATAATATATCAAAACTTATAAAATGTAATTAAAATGATGCTTAGAAATTTTTAGTATTAAGTAGATATAACAGAAAGGGAAAATGTTATACATAAAATTACCTAACTGTTCCTCTTAAAAAGTTAGAAAATGGCAAATGACACTGAGAAGAAGGAGAAAGAGGGGGCAAATAACAAAAAAGATGCACAGAATGATAAAATAAGGAATAATACAATGAAGAAAATCCACACAGTACTAAAATAGTTTCTATGAAAAGATTAATAAAACTGATAAATTCTTGGCAAGATAGGGGAGAGGAAAGAATATGATTACTTATACTGGAAATGAGAAGACATTACTATAGATATTACAGAAGTGAAAAAATGAATAAATAATATCAACAACTATTTTGAGAATTCAGATGATATGAAAAATTCCCTAGAAAAATACAAAATAATAAATAGAATGCTAGAAGAAATAGGAAATCTGATTGACAATAAACAAATTAAATTAAAATGAAACTACTCCAAGAAGGGATTCTAGATCCAGAGAACTTTACCATTAAATTTTCTAGGCATTTAATGAAAAATAATACTAATATT